GATCTTGAGCCTCATGTGTCACTTTTCCTTGATAACCCGACGCTTGACAGCCTCAATGAAGTAGCGACGTTGGCGGTCATGGGTCGACATTGAATGGATCTACCTTTAACGATGCGGTTAATGCCACACGGTGATTCCAACATGTTGGTTCGTTCTACCCAAGCTAGCGCAAGCCATATCTCAACAACGCCGATGTAACAAGTCTTGGCTTTCGAGAGTATCGGCGAATTGATACCCCATTTAGCTACATTATCCGATTGGAGGAGGCTTTGTTCCTGGATCTGCGATAAATCTTGATCAAGACCGGGAATTAGCCATCGCATAAGTGATCTACATTCCAGTTGCCATTGACCAATTCAGGGCGTTTGGAAAGCAAGACGCCAAGCGAGGGAGTGGCTTTCTTGAACTAAAAATGACTTCACTGACAGGTTATATATTAAAGATCTCTCGATAGATCGAATTCATGTTCTCAGCAGTCCTAATCACTGGTTCTTTCAGGTCCCTCATCTAATATGGCTATCACCGAGCAAGAAGCTGCCAAGTCGTCTCATACCCACCTTGTCATGGTAATATTGGTTGTATGCTTTGCTCTTTGCGTCTCGCTGTTGTTTGTTGCCCTTCGGTTCTGGTGTCGCTGTATCATTGGCTTTTCATATTAGGATGATGCTGCTGCTGTCATGGCTTTGGTAGGTTAATGGACCCGTTGGAATGGAGCATTGCTAACAGCTTGAAATTCAGTTGTGTATAGTAGGAATGGGATCTTGTATACTAACACGTACGTCGTGGCCCATATTTAGAAGTCATAAGGTTAAGATTTATAGTTGTACCACTCGGCTTAAACGATCCTACTGGAACCCTGCCAGAGAACAAAACCACACCGTTTTACAAGGTTTGACTACATCTTTGTCTTTCGACGGTCAAGCTAACAATACAAGTGCACATACATTGCCGCATTCTTCTACAAAGAAGGACTATTCTGGGCCAAGATGACATTTCTTCTCCTTTACTACAAGATTGTAACGCTCTCCTGCTGGCGATCCGCATACCTCGGGGCTATCATGGTGGTTGTACTCTGGAATATCTGTCAAATTCTGATTTTCTTTCTTCAGTGCGCCCCTCTCGAGGCCGTCTGGAACCGCAATCTCAGAATGAAGTGCATCACGAATCGTCTGGAGCTTGCATATATTTGCGCTGGAATTAACATCTTGACCGATCTCGTGGTAGCTATCTTGCCACTGCCGGTTATTTGGAGGCTCAACCTACGTCGGTCCCAAAAGATCGCTCTTTCAGTCGTCTTTGGACTCGGATGCTTGTAAGTAAACCTCAAATCACATTTAACCTTTGTTGACCTTTGGCAAAGTTCAATCGCGCTTGCTATCATACGGATAAAATGGGTAGAAACGTGGTCGTTTATTACATGGGATATCGTCAGACCGCAGCTATGGGCTTTGGCCGAGGTTACTTCAGCACTCGTCTGCGCGTGTATCCCAACTTTTAAACCGCTTGTCTCGAAGATTAATGCTATAATTGTTGGCCGAAGGAGAAAGGCTACAGAATTTGTCCTCGAGGAGTACAGGAGTGATGTTGAGTTCAATGCGGGAAGTACCAGAAACTATGAAGGCGTGAGTGAGAAGCCTAGGCATAGTAGGGTTTATGGAAGCGAACCATCAGTGGCAGTTGAGCAATATTACTGGCGGCTAAGCTGAGCTGAGCTGAGCTGAGCAAACTAATACGCTGAGGTAACAGCTTTTGAAGTTGGGTAATGAGAGGAGCTCTTATATACTATAGCTGACATGCAGTAATGATAATGTTAATTAGCGGTCTTTGAGTCAAAGCCTACATCTCACAACTTCGACACACCGATGTCGCTCAGCTGCATGAGCCCCGAACAGCCACGGCGCTAACAACTTCAAGGCATTTTCAACCCCCCAGCTCAGCTCAGCCCAACAAGGCATTCATGGCGTTTAAGGTACGCATATACCGTAAACAAGCATTCAAATCTTTGACATTCACGCAATTCTATAAATTTCCTTTCATCCATCGCATCATGAGTTCTTTGTGCAACTACTCTCACCCAGAACTACAAATCACAGATGGCCTCATCCGTCATGACACGGGCCGACTCTTCCCATACAACCCTGAGTTCTACAACACCGCGACAGGTTTGTATGGCCCTGGTACCATCTATTGTTGGTACATGCTTCTAGTTTCTGTTCTCATTAGTTGGGCCTTTTGTCTAGCGGATGAGGACGGACCTAAGAAGCCAGGCCTTTCAAATGATCTCCTGGGAGCTCTGGCATATCCTGTATTTGCCGCGACGGACTTGGTCGTGCAATCAATGAGGATTCTGGGGATGGAAAAGCGCGCACTCGCTATCTTTTGCCTGCGGAATCCAGCAGTTGATCTTGACCTGTTTGGCCCTTTCAATACCACGCAGCTCGACCTGAATCATATTCCGCCCGATACGGTGATATTGGGCCAGCGTGTCGTCGATATCACCGGGCCGCTGACTATATGCTATTCTGCAACACCGTTTCTTCTTATTCTTATCGTTGGGTTCATGATCGATGCCGACTATGCACGGAATTGGAAGCCAAAGCCATCAGCGCGCTGGGTGGTGAATGTAGCTTATGGCTATATCTCACTGATGCTGACAGTATTTCACTTCAGTCTCGGCGACATAGGAACCAGCTTTTTCATCGCTTTCTACGAGGCGATGCTACCAGTGATGTTGACCTTCATCTACCTCTTTACCGCGTTCATCGGCCTGACATTTCTTACTGGCATCATCATGCTGTTTTGGTCAATGATTGAGAAGAACTACAAAGACGCGGTTGAAGCTCTAAAAGTTCTGGGGGGCTGTATATTTTTCGCGGGTATGCTGGTTGTGCCATCAATGTTGATGGTTCACCGAGACCGCAGTACTACGATACCGGATTTGGGAATCAAGGTCAGTGAAAAGGGATCAGTTGGCCACCTTGATTGTTGGTGTTGTGACATTGACCTTTACGGTCGTTGATGTTTTCAGGAACTTCTATCGAGAAAGACATCGAGAAGAAGTGGCAGACGCGGAGATGCAAATGCTGCCAGCTACTGATGGAGCGACTGCGCATAGCTGAATGGCTGTGCGGCTTACTGGCGTTTTACACCAAGGATGTGAAGAGTAGTTTCGATCAAAGCAGCAAGCTCTAACGCTCATTCATTTCAGAAATCACTGCAACCCGTTCATATTATGTGATTCACTAGGGGTGGAAGTCTTGGAAGCAAACCACCAACGGAATAGTATACCCGCTGTCTCCGTAGATATTCTCATTAAATTCTAGTGAAAACTACAGCTAACTCATTGGTGGGTTTGCCTTTGGCCGTTCGATATCCCGCTCATGATGTACCTAAATTGAGAAAATGTACAAAATTACGAGGCATCGAAAATACTAGTCTTGGTACCAACCCGGCCGAATTGAACCCTTTGCAAATACACCAAATTCAAGTGAAAAGCCCTCTCGTGATTGCACTAAGCCATGTTCTGGGGCGCTTGGCGATAGAGTTGAATTCGTTGTCTGCGGGTCGCTTCTTTGCCATCGGAGGTTCGTCTGCCCTGGTCATGATTGCTGCAGTTGGGCATCTCCTTCGCTCAGGCCTCTCGTCAGGTGTACCATCAACTGTAGGCCAGAATAGTCTATCAAGGTCGTAGTGTAGTTCCTGCTCGATGCTTTCAAGGATGGTGTCGGGATGAGGCAACCTATCCTCAAAAGGCGTTTCATGTTGACTCGGTCGTTGAGCTGTATCTGATGTTCCCTCTTCAACAAGAGCGGCAAGAATATGACGACGGATGTTTATCTGCATCTTGCGTAACTCACAAGTTAGGTGACACGCCGGGTCGATAGTGAGAAGCGTTCGGCTGATAGCGGCGTTGAGCGATAATAACTCTCTACCTTCACAAGCCTGTCGTTCGGCTGGTAGGAGCTGGGCCAGAGCGGCCTGTATTGTAGACATTGCCGATGGCCTGTATAGGGCACTCATCTGGCTTGGTTTTTGTTTCTGACAGTAGAGAGATCTTTGTTTTATGTTTTGTCTGTTTTTCTGCCCGATGTGGCCGAGATTTTGAACAAAAGGGGGATGGATATTAAAGCTTAGCACTAGACGCCACGGACTTCTTTGTATTCTTGAGGTTAATTTCTCATGGATTTCCTTATGCCTGTAGCACGGACGGATTTTAAAGGTACCTAGCCGGACAGACACGGTTTAGAGTTGCACAAGGTCTCGAGTGGGGGCGTTGATTGGGCACAGCCAAACTTGAAGACAGACGCCGCCGTTGGCATGGCTTATGACACAGTCAGTAGTCTATGATGCATCTAATCATGCTGGAGATTCCATGGCGATCCTGATCATCGGATGTACACGAGCAATCAATATCTCGGGCGCTGAAGAGGTCGCGAGCGAATGATAAGTTTCGTTGTTGATTGCTGAATGAACGACAAATATGTAACAAGACTGTCAGAAGCCATCGAACCAAACTACAGGAATTAGATACTAATTATGGCATGAGACCATCAGCTGAAGACATTTCTCTCAGTGTTGGGAGCAATATTCAGATGCCCGCTTGATGTGGGCCAGGATATGCAGCTTGCCGCGGACAGGCACAGCTTTCGGGATGCTTCAAACAACTACAACATATATGGTGGGATGTTGCAAGCAGGTTGCCGATTTAATCTTTTCTACATTGTTACAACGAGTATGTAACGCGTTGGCTGTCGTACCCAGATGTGTGGCATCTTTTCCGACCAGGCAACCACACACTCCGTTCTCAACCATCAAGAGACAGCTGCCTTTTAGATCTTGAATTCGCATCAAAGTATACGAGAAGGATAGGAAAAGACCGCCCAGAGATCATGGGTAAATGTTTCTCTCGCCCGGAGCGGCACAATACTCTGTCCAAGCGTCTTTACCCTGCCAGTACTCCCGATAATGAACAAGCAAGCATGTACAGCCACCCAAACATCATGCTTAAGTCAAACAAGTCATCCCGCATCACTAGTCAGTGACCGATATGAACTGTCAGATTTAAAACACTAACCATCCTGGCCCCTGCACAGCTCCCTGCGCCAAGGCAACTACCTCAACAAAGCAGACCGCGCGCAAGAGACACCCTCGTCATCGCAACCGGGAGACCAGGCAGATGAAACGGAATCTCAAGGATACTCGGGAGCGTCTTGAAAATGCTCGTGGTCGGTGCGAAGCAGCCAAGGATGAAGTCGCGTCTTGTGAAAAAGAGATTACCAACTTTTCCCGGGGAATGAATGGCCGACGTGGTCTAGCAGCGGTTCAAGCCGAGAAGGGATCCCGGGATGGGAAGCCTGGGGATGTCTAGGGCACAAGAGATCGGATAAGGCTAGCCTTATTGGTGGTCTAACAAACAAACTCTGGCATTGATGTGCTGTCGCATGGGACCTTGCACTACGTGATCATCAGAAGCCTACCCATACGTCAACAAATGTTTGGCATTTCACCTCTAGCGCTATTCTCACCGTGGATTCTGCATCAATGGCAATAAAGCACTCCTCTCATCATTGCTGAGCATGTGGTTCAGACTGTTGCACGCTCGGACCACAAGCAGCTGTCTGTTGCATGTGCATGCCATGATTAACGAATTATGAAGACTCACGAGGAGAATCTCCTTTGTCTACTAATGCTGTCAGGTTCCTACTTCTCGGCGTAAAGCCCTCAACTGCCCTTTCTGCTCCGTGGGCTACACTGGCTCACAATTCCTACATAATTGGAGTTGTTGCCTCTGACATTTCCTCAGCCCAATTTTGATACCCATCACCACTGGCACGATGTCATCCGATGCTATCAGGGCGACTCTTGCGCAATGGGACTTCTCTGTAGCTTCACAAGGTAAATAATGTGCACAATGTCTGCTGTTTTAAGGATATTAACCAGGATATCAGGTTTTTCTCGTCGCGAATCGGTTGTGTCTCCCCGAGATCAACACCTTCCCAGAGTCTCGAGCTTACCATCTCTTCGAAAGGAGTCCTCATCTCAACCGATGGAGACTGATGATCCAGCAGACGATTACTTCCCGCGCTTCAACTCTTCCATCGGGAACCCATTCTCGAGATCCGGTACACATTGGCCGTCTCTTATGTCTATAAATAAAGATGAAGAGATTTTCAGCGTCACTCGTCAAACGATTCCCGGTCATAATCTTCTTCCTTTTCCGAACACTCAGCCTGCATCTGATCTAGGAATCCACAACTTCTACGTTGAAGAGCCGGACACAGTCTACCTCGAAGTCAAGTTTCCCAACATGCAACCCATTATAGTCAGAGAGGACTACGTACAAAAGATCAACGAGCCAGCCGTCGTCAATTTCTGGCGGCTCTCTGGAAGTCGAGAGTCTGCTACGGGCATAGGAAAGCGTCACGTATTTTGTATTCTCGGCTATCGCGTTTTTTATCTTCCGAACGGTGGTGAACGAGAGGAACATTGGATTCATTGGACAGGATACCGCGCATGTGAAGCCTCATGGGTTGGATCTGACTTTGCCCGGCGTGCTGCGCCTGAGAAGGTCCAAGCCTTCAACTCTGAGCGCCGACTTTCTTGCTACAGAGACTCTACTGGAGAGATGTTTATCACCAAGACTGCACCGCGCTGCTCTGAGATGACCCATGGGGCGAGTTGTAATGGTTGCTTACGCTGCGGAGGCGGATGCAGCCGTGGCCATGTTTAGCGAATGGGTACCTTGTGTGGCATCACCTCGATGATAATAGATTGGATCAGTGCGTTACTCTCCTTGAATAAATACCCTAGAAGTCTACTTCTACCACAATCTGCCTAATATCTCTTTCTTCTCAGTCGACTTCGTAGTCTCCCACAAACCACCTCCAACAACACTAGTAACAGTGGCATCCTTCTCCCTATGCTCTTCACACACAGTCGGCGCCTTCTCGCCTTGACTCTCATGGTAGAACTTGGAAACTTGGAAATTATGTTTCGATCCTCCACATGCCACCTTTATCTCACTAAGCTTGAGCTGCGGGAAACACCCATCACACCAGTTATGCTCAGGATAATCAGATGATTTGTTAGCTGTTGCAAGTCGGATAATCTTGCGGCACAGTTTATTAGAGCAACAAACTGTTGGGTCCATAGCAGGCCATTTGCTTCTGAACGTGAGTTTGCCAGATACCAGCATTTCCTTGTTCGTCAGAAGCCCCAGCTGACGACATGTCGCCTTGCATTCATGCAAGGCGAAGAAGAACTTGAACCCTTCTTCACCGAGGTTCGTTTCACCGAGTTTGAAACGTTCAGGATCCTTAGTCTGAATTGCAGGATCGGTGAAAGAGTTACCTACACCTTGAAGATCCGTGACCAGAAAATGGCCCCAGGAGCGCTCAAAGGTAAAATGCGAGAAGGCTTGCGCAATCTCATTGAATGGATTAGTGTCGTCTTCCAAGACATAAACCCCGTTACTATTATACTTGATGTATTCGCCTTCGATAAACGGCTCCAGCGACAGATTGTCGTCTGACTTGGATCCGCGAGACATGTCCTGAAGACAAAGCGTAGTTATAAAATCGATAGGCTGTGAGGACTTGATAAGCCCGTTGAACTCCAGCGCAAATGCTTTACAAAGCGCTTGCATTCGCATGTCCTCAATTAGATTGGCGAGCCTGTGTTCAGTATGTTTGAATGACTTGAGAACGAATTTGCTCGTGGTTGCAGCTGGGCGAGCATACGCCGCGACGCGCAGAGATCCTTCAGCGAATGGCTTGGAACGCGCGTTGATATCGAGCTTGACAAGCCCAAGCTTGATGTTCTCATCGTTGTCCAACATTGCATCCAGTGTATCAGCCCCATGGACGCTCAGGTCCAGACAAAAGCCCTCCGTGGTGAGCTTCTTGTCTAGCCAGCCAGGGGTGTTCCAGCGCGGTGGTGATGTCTCAAGAGCAACGCTTTTGCTGGCTACACTTCTGGCAACACTGCCATCTTCCAAGATAGCAGTTAACTCTGGGCGTCCAGACATGTGCGAGCCACCACGGCTCCCGCCCCTCATTGCCAGAGTCAAGCGGTTTGCTGTACGCGATACTGAAGACGTGACAGTGCTGACAACCAAATGCTTGATGGCTGTGTATCCAGTTCCGAGCTGGAGTTCTTCGAAAAGGGGCCCAGTACTCGTGGCTGTTCTCTTGGCTCGTGACTTGGCCAAGATGAGCGAGTCCTCAATCGCAATGTTATAAGAATTCTTCTCGTGGAGCTTGACGTCCGCTCCCGAAAAGCCACCGCTGTAGGACTTGCCAAACTCCAGGGCCATGCGGTCGGTAGATGAGTTGATTCGCAGAAGAGCATAGTTGACCTTGAGTTTGACAAGGCGGCTCAAGAGATTTGCATGAGTGAGACCATGGGGTTCACTGGCTGTTCTGTAGTAGTCATCGTCACTCTCCTCATAGTCATGTAGAGCATGTCCATGAGGAGGGGCATCGGCGATGTGGATCAGACACCTGGTGTGTTGCATCCATGATGCATTGATAGCCTTCTGTATACCGCCCAGAACATCCTCAGGGATATCCCCACCACCTGATGCTTGAAGGCTGGCCAAGAAGTTGTATACCTCTGTGACAGCTGTAGTAAAGTCGAGGAACTCTATGTTGGGCTCATCGCCATGGTCTTTGTATCCAACCACCGCGACGCGCACATCTGACTCGTTTAAAAAGACCTCTTAGATCTCTTTGACGATGGATCGGATCTGATTCTTTGCTGTCTCTATGTAACTATTCATAGAGTATGTCGTGTCAAGAAGGAACAGTATATCAGTCGAGCAGGAGCTTTTGAACAAGCCAGACTTGGAGTAAGCTGGGGCTGCAGCGTTGGCACGCGCAACCTCTGACTTGAGTGCTGATAGCCGACTCTTGCTATAAGCAGCCGAGATAGTCGAGCTATCCTTGACCCTGGTTACTGACGATGGGGTTGGAGCATTGTTGTGGGTTCGATAGGAAGGAGGCACGCTTGGTCCAGAACCTGAAGCATCACGAACCAAAGAGGCACGGAGCAACTCATCTGCTGCGGAAGAGCCCTTGGGTTTGGATATGCTTGAGCGAGTGATGCTTGCTGAGGAATGGGGCGTCTTGGCCTTCAATGTTGATGCTTCTTGTGCAGTAATGTCAGGCTTGCGAATAAGAGATTGACGAAGAAGATCATCCGCAAGCCTGGCAATACTGTCTTTGGAGCTTTTGGTGTTGGACTTTACGGATCGCTTGACCGAGGCAGATGGATCGCGTGGGTCCATGGTGATTGAGACTGTTGCAGCATTCACAGAGGGGATGGCAAAATCTGAGTGAATGATCTAACGGAGTAACAGGACTGAAGTGAGTCGCCATCGGTTTATTATCATATATGGACGAGATGGCCACCGGCTCGAGGTCTGGACACAGCCTGTGCATCCGTAGTTGGGGGCACCAATGAACCTGAAAAAAGAGATGACTGCCTATATTTTCAAGCCATCTGCAAGCCCCATGCATCCAGACATGGGGGCCAAAGCCATGTAGGCCGGAGCCTTATTTCTTGCAAGCACTGATTCAGAACGACATTTCAATCCACCAAGCCAGTGGATTACTCCCGGAATACTAGTCATTGGTAAAAAATGGAATCGGAATAATCTGGTGAATATACTCGAGTATTTCGTGGTTGAATCAATTTCTAGAGGGCGAAGTTTGTATGAACAGCTGCAAAGAAAAGACAATCCCCCGCGAGAGCCTTATTTCACCAACGCTCTGTGACTGACTGACACGTAGCCTACATATTTCTGCAGCTAAGGCGGATTATCACCTGGTGGCTGCAAAGTCCAGCGGCTAAGTTGGAAATCAGACGGGCTGTCTGCCTGCGGCTGAAGAGGGGTTTGCCATTTACACGATGCCTATTTTTGCAGCACCTGGCGCCTTGTTTTCAGAGCGATTGGCTCGTTTCGCGAGCTGAAAGATTCGGACCCTGGAGTGAGACTCGAAGGCAGAATCGGTGTTGCCTGTGGCGGCCGGGCTCATTGTAATTTTGCTACTCAATCATTTTCTCAGTTTCGAGATGACCTTCGTTTCTGTGTGTGTCTAGACTACTCACACAAGGTCGTCTCTTCATTAAGCCTTTATTAATAGATATGTAACAGCTGGAGGATGGATAGCCGAAATGGGTTTCTCTCAAGCCTCGCTGTCGGCTCAACCTTGTCTCCCAATCTCGATATCCTCTCTCGCTACGCCGGCCTCTCCGTTCCCTCCCCGATCGAGACGCTCAAAACTCCTTCTCCGATCGACTATGAAGCCTCCACAACCATTGAACATCGCAGTACTGCACGCGCATTGCTGGTGAGAGCGCGAACAAGCGATGCAGGCTACCGTCCACCAGACCAACAAAAGAGACATCTCTTGCGCGTACCGAGCCGAAGAAGCTTGAAGCTGAACGAAGAAAAATGGACTTTTACAAAACATGAGGTCGGAATGGTTCTTAATGAGCTTCTTTGTATGGCTCCGTTGCCCGATGTGCAAGTAGCGCACGCAGTGCTTGCTTCTGTACACATAGACTCGCTGGATGAGCTGTGGGAGCACTTCAAAGACAACAAGCTCCAAAAGAGGCAATCCAGCATTTTTCGGCGTTCAACGTCTTCAAATAATGGATTGTCTAATTGGTTGAGTACCGTCACGGGCCAGGAAAACATACCGTATATCCATCTACTGTGCCATTACAACGCAGGGCCCAATTTGTTGAATCAAGCCTTTGTAATTGCGCTCGCCAGGCGCAGCATTCCTTCAATGAAGCTTCTTCTGAGCTTTGGCGCGTGCATCTTACCCATCTGCAAAGACTATGTGCAACCATTTGTGGCCAAGGACGACGTCGACATTGTAAAGCTTTTGCTTTCGGCTCCAAAGGGCATGAATGTTGAGGACTGGCAATACTCCCTTCAAGCAAATATTGAGGGAGCTCCACGTGGTATATGCAAAACGAGCACTCTGCTTCAATGCGTCCACAATCGGCCAGATATTGCAACTGGGGAGTATCTCCTCAGAGCCATCGATGCGAACAATGTTGCCGCTGCCGCCGTTCTTCTTTCCTACCTGACTACTCGAACATGCATGATGCCTCCCATGTTTTCCGTTCAGAAGTTCAATGTCGCCTCTTTCCTAAGTACAACCGGCAACGAAGTCGAGCATGAGAATCTTGCTGTACAGGCATGCAAGCGCATCTCGGTAAACCCCGATTACGAGACAAGATACAAGCTCTACTGCCTTCTCGATGAAGCAAATCTTGTGAGAGATGTGCCGGCTCTTCGGCAAGAGATGTCTTACAGCGTCATGGCCAAAAGGACCGCTATGATTCACCTTCTGGTCAAAGCCGGAGTGCGTCCATCTATCGAAGAGGCTGTATCTATGATGGACTTTTCCATTCTCGGGATAATGCTTGCCGCGATGAGAGGAAGAGACGACTTCCCAAATCTGCTGTCACTTGTCCGGTTCGACACTTCGGAAGACGATATGCTTCGTTTTCTAGGTATGTTGGCTTCAAACGACTTACACTGTCGAGGACAACCATTGGATGATAAGTTCATCGAAGCTATTTCCAAAAGACATCATCGTACTGTTGTTGCATTCCAGCAAATGGGTGCAACCACCACGTACAAGACCATCCAAATGGTCACCGGCTCTGCCGATGTCGAGATGCTGGGGATTCTACTCCAAGGAGATATTAGTGATGGGGAGCTTTCTCCTGCACTATCAGACGCAATGAAGATTGCAGATCCGTCAACTCGACGCACGACTGTCAAAATGCTCGCTGATAAAGGCATACGGAAAGAAGCTCTACATGAACAACTGTGTCTCATCATTCAATACCCAGACCCTGATATGAAGCTCATCAAGATTTTACTCCAATATCAGCTACCGCTGCTTGGGAAAGGCGGCAGGTTGAATGTAATGCACCTCGCCATTCACAAATCATCTCTCGCAGTAATAGAGCTTCTCTGGAAATCCTATCCTCACCCGGCGTCCCTGTCAGAAGCCCTCCCGAAAGCCTTTTCGCGCATCGCAGAAGACGGCGGGAGTCTTACCCACGATATCATCCAGTTCCTTCTCAAGAATGGCGTGAAGGGAACAGGACTTGACAAGACGCTTCTGGTAGCTTCTGGGTCCAAGAGTCCTCGCGCATTGGATATTATTCGTTTATTGCTCAAACATGGTGCAAATGCGAACTATAACCACGGCAATGCTTACGCTGCTGCATGGAACGATTACGCTAGGTTCGAGGTTCTTTGCAAAGCCTGCCCAGTAAAGGAAGCTGTCGCCAAGCGACTTCTTCCGTTACTACTCGAGGCGAGTGTTGCCAACACACAGGCATTGGAGCTAATGCTGCAGTCAGCAGCATCGAATGGATCACAGACAGACTTTACAGAGGTGCCAAACTTATTGGAGGGCCATCCAAACATGGCGGCTATTATTCCATGTCTCATGAAACATGGCCTTGATGTAAACCTTCAGAAAGGCGTGATCATACGGTTTGCCGTGGAGAAGAGCGACCTCCCGCTCTTGAAGACATTGCTCTCCGTCAATACATCTACCAATTCCCTCAAGACTGGTTTCGCAGCTACGAAGAAAACCAAGATTCGAGAAACGAGGCTTGATATGATGAGACTCCTCCTCGATAAAGCCGGCAATGCGGAAATTGGTCAGTCTGAAGTGCTAGACGACGAAACACTAGAGGCTTTTTCGAAGTCAGGTGATGACAGGGGCTTCAAGATCCTTCTTGCCCACAAGCCACTCGTCAGCACCAAATCCCTCGTTATTGCTGCGATCTCTTCAAGGTCCACGACTATTTTAGAGATGCTGCTTTCACGTCAACCAAGCGGGGAATCTATCACTACCGCTTGCATTGCGGCATTCAGATCGCCCAAGCTGAATGATGATCAGAAAGAATCCGTCCTTGAGCTATTACTAGATGCTAAGCCAGGGCTCACGAAGGCTGAAACTTCTAGCCTACTGCATGCGATGGTAGAGCAGTATGGAGACTCCACGCTAGTTCCACTGATGCTCATGAAACGCGGTGTAGAAGTCACGGCGGCTCACCTCAAAGCGACTCTCATCTCAAGTAGTAAAGAGTTATTCACACTTCTAATTCGCGAAGTGAAGCCCACTAATGCTGTAAATGAGTGCTTTGCGCAAGCAATGTCGTCCGCCATGACGGTAGAAAGGCGTCGCTGGATTTGCGAAGCCCTTCTAGACACCGGAAAAGTTTCAATTACTGCTGCCTCGGGAGCGCTCATCTTATCACTTAACGAAGGGACACCTGACGTGGGACTGGTAAAGCTGTTACTCAAACATGGCGCTGATGTGAAGTTGAAGGAATTCCGTCCTCTAAGAATGGCTTTCAAACTCAAATCGGCAGAGGTTACCGAGCTACTCATCCAATCTATCAAGGACGATAATACCGCTGCTGCAGCGTTCGACCTGGTACGAACCTCGACGGCGATGAAGCCAGCGTTCAGATACAGGGTATATACTAGTCTTCTGAAACACAAAATCACCGAGGATAAACTCACACTAGCTCTCATCGACACATTGAAGAATGCTCCTGACATAGATACCATGAGACTGCTCCTTGAACGAGGAGCTAGCCCAAATACAGACGACGCCAAGTGTTTTGTACTAGCCTGCAAAGCGGGCAATGAGGCCGCTCTCAGAATCATGTGTCAATATGCGAATGTTGATGCAGTGACTCTGGCTCTAATTGAGCACTGCTCCAAAGAAAAGGAGGTCATCACGTGGCTGAAGACTTCCATGTCCGAGTTACGCAAAGCTCATCTTAAAGACTCGAATCTCCTGTACATGGCCATGGCCAAGTTCCCTCAGGGAGGCACTCTAGTAGAAAGGCTGCTTCATTACGGGGTGTCACCGGGGGCGATGAAATCGGCTTCTTTATGCAAACAGTGGAAACGTGAGCCGATTACACCTTTGCTTTGGGGGCTCATGTCGGACTTGAAGATATCAAACAGAGCCCTGCTAGCCCTCGTCGCCAAGGGAGATGATGGTAAGTACTACCGGAGCTACTTTGATCGATTCCATGGCTGACGATGACCAGCGAATTTATTGTACTCGACACCCAGCTCCCAGGTATCAGCTGCTTTCGCCTGTATGCTCGACCCCGAACGCAACCCCGTTCTCGAATATCTCCTCAAATTACACGGCAAAGACATCAGAATATCTGTTATTCCGGGGCGTTCATTCTCCTACCTAAGTCAGAAGCCTAAAGCAC